ATACATCATCCAAAATGAACAATTGAAAAGAAGATGGAAAGTAATCTTAAAGTCTTGAATATCTACCATGACTTCTCGATGAATCTCCTTTGACTCTTCTTCTTTTTCAATTCAAGAAATTGTTATATGAAAATAAGTGTAGTTGTGTTTTGTATCAAGATTTTATAAAGATTTGAATATATAGGTTTTTTCCCCCCCTTATCAAAAGCTTTCTCTTTGACTCTCCTCTTTGAACGATATATGAATGTCTCCCTAAGAACCTCATTTGGCCTAAATAATATGTGTAATTTGAATCCCCACAAGCCTTTCCTATAATTGTAGACAAAGGCGTGTATCTATGATTTATAGGTCCCAAAATTAGGTCAAAAATCGTGCTCTTATTGCGTTCCAAAATAAAGGTTGAATCAAAAATAGGAAAGAAAATATTTTTTGTTTCGTATATTTATGTTGTCTCATGGTTATAAACCTTGTTGTCATGCGGATATAAATCCAAATATTCTATTGATTAAAATTAATTTCTTGCTATCGTATGGTTGGAAAAATATGAAGTTGTTAAGCAAAAAGAATCAAAGCTGGCTTGTTACAATGAAAGAGATACTTCTTTGCACAAGAATCAAACTTGGATATTGGTCAATAAACCTGAAGGTAAAAATATTAAATGGATCTTTAAAGTTAAAAAAGAAAAAAAAATAGTGAAAAGATATTAGATTAAGGTTAAGACCATGTTTGATAGAGATTTTAATCCAATTAACATCAATTTTTTTTATCGTTATTTTACTATTACAGCCGTCATTTTTGAATTCTTCTCTCATAGGTAAGACCCAATTTATTCCTAACGGACAAAAAATTAATTAACAAAATCTCTACCAAACAAGCACTAAGTTGGTGGATTGTAATGAAATATTCTCCCAGTAGTAAAGTATACTATAAATAGTCATTTCAACTTTAGCAACACAATTTGATTGGGATATAGACCAACTAGATTTTGAAACAATCTTAATAAATGGGAATTAGAATAAAAAATCTATCATGGTTTTGCTAAAAATAAGATTTTTAGTAAATTTGAATAAAAGTTAATAAAATTCTAATTAAAAAGTTAATAAAAATTAGGTATCTCATGAATTATATGATTAAAATTAATTGTTGATTTTGACTTAAATTTTTATTAACTTTTTAGCTAAATCAAATAGGACTGTATATCTCCCATAAAAGATTTGAAAATAAAGGAAAGTTTACTATGTGACTCAAAAAAAATTCCTTATGGCTTGGAGCAAGCCCGGAGACATTGATATAAGAGGTTGACTTTTAGATCATTGAACTTTACTTTAAGATAAGCAAATATAGACTATAGTTAATTGCCTTATCAAGAATAGAATGATGTTGGCGGTCCATGGATGAATTGATCATAAATATTTAACATAAGATATCAAATAATATTAGCCGTGAACTTTGGTTAATCTAACGATCTAAACTTAGTAAAACTTTTATTGGGTGTATTTGAATGTGAGTATAATGATTTTAAAAGATTTTAGTACATCTTTCGAAGGCTGATATTATTTGTCAAATTCATTGGTAAAAGGAACGGTTTTCATGAAGGAAATAGAATTACAAAGTTATAATTGTTGGGTTTTTTTGATACCTAATAATTCGGACGATGATTTAAAACAGTTGTCAGATTATTTATCGGAACCATGGACTTGGCTCGGCTCGGAGACAAACTACGCTTTTGGATGGCTCAGGTTTGGGTTGAATGATTATTTGGTTAGTTAGACCATTTAGTGATTAATATAGAGTTGAAAATTGACCAATTAGTTTAGGTTATATGGCAGCCCACTTAGAGATCTCTTGGCTCATATTTGGTGACCTAAACTAACCTATATATATGTATTTATCTCCCAACCATTTTGGTGTCTGTGTGTGTTATAGCAATGGAGAGGAGAGTTGAAAGAAGAGAGACAGCAGAAAGAGAGAGAAGCCATGTGAGGTTGTGAGTGAAAAATCAATCTCAGAGACGGAATGGCCAGTTTGTCCATCCTTTTATGTCCTTTGCCCAAACCTTGAAGCTCCTGCCATTAAGAACTTGTAACCTTCGTCTTTGTACCATATGTTGGCTTGCAAATCTGCCACCTTGTGACCCTCTGGAGATATGTGTGGAAAACGAATATTCATTTCTTGTGCTAGATGAACGATGATTTCAATAAGATATTGCAACCATTGTATTATCTTCTTCTTCCTCTTCATACCTTTGTGGATTGTTAACACCACCATCATTTTCCTTTGTGGGGTTTGAGAGAGTTTGGACAGTCCAAAGTGAAAGCGAAAGTCTCGGGTTGAGTCGAGGTAAATCGGTGTTCGTTTGATTATTTTCTGAGCCCGGAATCAAGATTTATCGAGGGATTTACGCTACAAATGGTATCAGAGCTTGTGTTGTTGATAAATCTGTGATTTTTGGGGCTGAAAAACGGGTTGGAAGTGACCAGAAATCGGACAAAAAAACTGGACAGTTTTCTGGGATTTTTTCAAATTTCTGCCGAATCTGTTTAGGCGTTTTCTGGTGAAACCAAAACGACTTAGGCGAAACGGACACCACTGGTGGACTGTGCACGCCGAGAAGAAGCCGGAATGGTGACAAGTTGCCGACGCGTGGATCGCCGTTGCCGGCGCGTGGGGAGGCTGACGAGGCGCGTGAGGGCGCGTCGACTGGAATCTGGCGATGGTGTCTTCACATAGAATATTTCTGGAGATGATACAGACCCTGCTGTGTTGTCGGATTTCAGTTTTGAGCAATACAATGAAAGTTGAATGATTTTGTCCTTGAACGTTCGGGTGTCGGGTGCTGTTTTCGTGTTACTGTAGACTTTAGGATGAATAGTGATATTTCTAAAGTGGTGAATTCGCATGTCTCGATATTTACGGACCTTCAGACGTGGTCCGCTCGGTATCGTACTCTTTGCGTTTTATTATTGCAGTTAAAATAAATGTGTAGGTTAATTATTATTTTTCGCGTTAGAAGTCATCATGTGATGTGACGTTAGGTTTGGGGTAATTATTGTTTGTTGCTACATGTTAGTTAATTGTCTTAAATTCTATGTGAATTTGTCACCATTTTTTTTTTACAACGATATAATTGCATGTGACTTAAGAAAAATTTACTTGACTATTTTGTGTGAATTATGTGTCAGTACTTTACTTGTGATCATTATTTGGTATTATTGGCATGTATAGGTCTAAGGTAAGTGCGAAAAATAAAATATATTTTAACTGTAGTAAAATTTAGACATAGTTGAAAGAGATTGTCCTAAGATGATAATAAAAGAAAAGATGAGAATAGACCCAAAATTGAAATTGATATCTATAATAACATCTTCACAAATTTAATAAATCAGTAAAGATCTAACTACTAAACTCTCATATAGAGGTGTAAAAATGGGCGAACCGGTTGCCGTCCAAGTAAGGAACTGGCACAACCAAATCCTGCTTTAGAACCAGGCTAAACTGGTTAATGAGCCGGCCCGTAAACATACATAGACCCGAGGACCTGCCCATGAACCGGTCAATATTAAAATAAAGTAAGTCAATATTAATTTTTAATCGCAAAAAATTACAAAATGAATATGAAATAACCTTATTTTAATTACAAAACATTATAACATTAAAAATAAACTATGAAAAGCATATTCTTAATGCTGTCAGTGCCTTATTTAAGGCTATTCTTAATTAAAAACCTTATAAAATTAAAAATAAACCGTGAAAAGCATATTCTTAATGCTGTCAGTGCCCACTTTATTTATTTATTATTTTATTTTTTTTAAGGCTATTTCAGCCTTATACATAGAGTTGGACATGGTTTGGGTTGGATAAAACTCAACCCAATTATTGTTTAAATAAAATCCAAATCAATCAAGCTTAGGTTTATTTGGATTGGATTGGGTTGGTCAGTTGGGCTTGGGTCTAATTCAAATTATTGTTAATACAATCTGAACAATTTTTAAAATTTGAAACAACTAGAACATCTCCGTTATTTTTAGCTTATGTAAGGAATTCTTTTTAAGAATTAATTTATAAATAAGTTTAAAACTATGGAGCATTTTCTTTTTATAATTTTTTTGGAATTCCTTCTCTTGGCTCTACTATAACGTAGAGGTGGCAATCGAACCAAGCGACCGTCGGCTCGTAAAAAGAAGGCTTGTAAGCAACTCGAGCTCGTATTTGGACAAGTCCAAGCACGAGCCGAGCGGGCCTCCTCGCGAGGCAAGCTGAACCCGCTCAGCTCGCCCACAGGCGCACGAGCCTAAAGTTTACGAGCCCATGGCTCATGGGCTCGTAGAAAAAGGGAACAAAAAAAAAGAGCTCGTGGGCTCGACTCGTGAGTAGATGGGCCCAACCTATTATGTCTATATAGGTTTTTCCATTTTACGAGTTAAATTTTTTAATTCATCAAATTGGATTGGATTAAATTGGATTTTAATACATAGCTCGAGACCCAACCTCAAATTTGATTCTCCAATGGATTGGTTTTTAATTTCAATTGGGTTGGGTTGAGTTCATCGGTTTGAGCTGTTTGGATTGACTTTTACCCAACCTTAACACAACTGTAAGGCTAAAATAGGCTTGAGTTTTATATATATATATTATTTAATTTTCTAAATATCAATGGGCTTGCTGATTAATTGCCAGGCCCAATTAGTACAATCGACCTGAGCTGATATTTACATCTATAGGCACGCGAACCGACCCACTTGACCTATGGGCCATTTTAATCGGGCTGGTCCCGAGTAGGCGATGTTGGACCCACCAGGTTTGACACTGCTACTCTCACATATGATGTGGACTGATGGACTCATTACGTCCTCTTAATCCAACAACTACGTTTTTGAGTCGAGTCCAACTGATAGCTATTATTATAAAGAATGACTCGAGTTCTCGAATGCCCAAATCTAAAACGTATCATGGCTGTCCAGGTTTTTGACAATTTATAGTTGTTACAAGTTTATGACGGAAACAAGGTATTTATAACATTTATGAAAATGATTCCAAGAACCAAGATCAATGTAAGTACATAAGAAAACGTATTCAAGACTAAACAGACAGACACAAAATAGATATTATGGGACAAACTATAAATTCAAGCTAAAATCATCATCGTACATATTTTGTTAAAATATCGAACCTCGGATTCAACAGGTTCAATTCCACCATTTTCCTAAACTGGAACATAAAACACAACATTAATTCGAGCAGGTTCCCGTGGGATCAGCGTTCTTAACTATCCAAGGATGTTCCATGATCTTCTGAAGGGAGAGCCTCTTTGTCGAGTCCTTTACAAGAAGCTATAGACAGATAAGGCCAAGGGCATTAGAAATGAACATAAACTTTCATCACCGTTTTCTCCTCTTAAGTTATAAAACGTCATAGACAACTCTACCTGGCTAATGAGATTTTTAGCATCAGAAGAAACGAGAGGGGAGTCAGGGAAGTTAAGGTCAACCTTCATAATCCTAAACAGTCAACATAGATCTTGTCAGCATCTGCCCACTATGATGAAGTCGGAAGATGAATATTAATTGCATATTTGGTACGCGGCATTAAAACGCTACTGTACAATTGAAACAGACAAGATTTTGACTTACTTTCTCTTAATCCTATCAAATACTGTACAATCTAGCATGCCTAATGTGCCACAAGTAAACTATAGAATTCTTACCTTCTAAATGTGTCCTTCTGGCTTTCTGCCTCGAATGGAGGGGCACCATACAAAAATTCATAGCAGAGAACGCCTAAAGTCCAATTATCAACTCCATAGTCATGAGCCTTATTCTCCACCATTTCTGGTGCTAAATAGTCCAAAGTTCCGCACATAGTGTGTCTCTTGTTTTTTGATTGCACAGACCATCCGAAGTCAGCAATTTTCAGCCGACCCTATAATTGATATGTAAGTAATATTCTTAACACATAAACCAGTATCTAGATTGCACATTTAGGTTTCAAATTATTTCAGAAAATTCCTATTAGTAAATATGGTGAAAACATAAGTACACCAACAAAAGCTTTTTCTTACTCAATTAGATGTAGATTATTAACAATATAACACGGAAGTTAACAAATTATGCTAGCTTAGAGTAAAGATCACTATTTATTTATTAAGAGTGCCTCACCGAAAATCAGGTAAACAATATACAGCTCTTATAGCTTTAAGAAGATCCAGTATATTTAGAATGGCAGTGAAAGGAACAAATAATTAGAGATAAGAGTCGCCAATGTTGAAAAAGCAAGTTTAAAATACCTTGTTTTTACTCGTGTATTTGTCAATTTTCATCAAAAGTTGGAACATACAAAGTAATTCCAGAGAGTGGCGTCACCTCATGGTCGAGTAACAAATTCTCTGGTTTGATATCCCTGTGAATCACATCCTTCTCATGGCAGTATGCCAAGGCCTGTGTGAGACTCGCTATGTACTGCATTTCCAAACAAAACAAAAATTAATACGTACATCTCAATAGCGAGAGATATCCAAAATTAAATTACTACAGAAAATATTGCAATTTATAGGATGAGAAATTAATTAAAGAGTTGAGAGAGAGACAAACACGTGGAGCTTCATGCAAAACAAACTAAATCCATGCGACAGAATATCACACACTATAAATTTTAATTAATCAAAATTATGTGCCACGGTTCCTACCCTGGTGTACATCAAAGAATGAAAAGATTATGCTCAAGTACAGACACAAACATTTCCAAAGATAAACTGAAATGAAAGTTAAATGGACTGCAATTCCTGTGACAATAGCCAAATTATTGAGAACAATTCCTTATGAATTACAAATTTTCTGATGCCATCACGTTGGAAGAACCACAAACCATTTCTTGCTATTGAGATATAATAGCTGAAAATAAAGCAAAATACAAAATGAAAAATTAAGAAAGAGACCACCAAAAAATTTAAGAAGTTACTTAGGTAATTGGGCTCGGCAAAGTCATTCCATTGACTTCAAACAACAAAAACTACTAATTTTTTATGAACATTGATGCTTGCTATTTGGAGATCTTAAAGGCTAAGAGTAACTTCACATAAAAAAAAATATAAAATCGCAAGGTAAACAATTATAATCTAAGGTGATCTTATCAATTATACAGTTCCGTAATAGGAATTCTTGGTGTTTTACAAAAATTAAATAATTATAGTCTAAACCTGACATTGTAACATTTGCAAAGAGATAAAGAAGCTGTTTGCTGACAATGCACTTTGCACATTCAGCAAAATAGATATTAATAACAAATATGATAAGGTGAAAAAATAATTAACAGATTCTAAAACAAAGGGTAATCAATAGATATTCGAAAAAACACACACAATCACACACTCAAATTGAAGAATTTGAAATACACTCATGTATCACACCGAAACCTACAGAGCTTGAAACATACATTTTATGTCAAATTTTCCCTCTAAATATAGAGCTCTCTATTGTACTTTAATGTGTTTTTCAAATGTCGATTTATCTTTATCATCTATTCATTCTAACGGAATACACTTGGATGTGCATCTAGTGAGTACTTTTTCAATGACAATGGGAGAATAAAAATATATGACATAAATGTAACTAATGAAGTAAGATAATTTATTTGGAAACTACAAAAGAATATGACTTCTACCGTCCTAAAGTTAAACTCCTTCATCGAGGTAAGTGCAATTCTTTGTTTTAATTTAGAAATGAATGCAGTTCATTGGCTTTCATGGAAAATAAAATGGACATTATACTACTGAATGCTTCATTTTCCGTCGCATAATCAGAAATTACTATATTTTATATGCTCATAATGTGCGTGTCGTTATTTAAAAGAATAAATTGTTTCTGCCACGTTCATGAACAGGCTATCTAGCACCTGCATTCATAGTTTAAAATCAAGCTGAAATCTAATTGTCTTCGATGCCTCTATTTACAACTCGATCGCAATTTCTAATTTATTATAGGAGTGTGACCAGATTGATATCGACCTATATATAAAGAATTGAGACAAGATATGATAAGGGTGAATTTTCATGGATGTTCAAATTGCTATTTGTTTTGGATCTGCTGTGTAAGCATCCATTGATGCATATGATAAATTTCTTGTTTCCCAAATAATTCGTATTCGTATTTCACTTAATTCCCTTTTGTACAGAGGAAATTCAATATTAAATCACAATTAATTTCACATTTCAATCTCAACAAGATATTCTTACACAAACGCACAGTTGTATATACACACATAAACATGCATGAAGAAGAATAAATAGAGATTACAGTGGCAGCTTGTCTTTCAGAGAGATGGCCAGATTTCCGTAGCTCTTTGTAGAGTTCACCTCCATGAGCATATTCCAAGATGAAGAAAATCCGTTCCTCATCATGGAACCATCCAAACAGTCTCAAGACATTTGGGTGACGGAGACTGGTCTGGATCTTCATTTCCCTTCTCAACTGGTGGTGCAATCTGTACTTCTCTATCTGCTCCTTAAAAATCACCTTCAGCGCCACTATATACTTGCTCTATCATAAACCAAAGCCCAAAAATCAAAAACAAATTACGTAAATTCCCAAAAGTTCAATTTCCTCAGCACTATTATATGACCTTCAGCGCCACTATATAATTACTCTTACAAGAATCCAGAAAAAAAAATAATAATAATCACTCAAATTCCCAGAAATACAATTTTCTCAGCATCAGCAGTGTGTAATCTAACAATTATCAAATAACAAAAGAAACGAATCACTCAAATTTCGATTAATTGGATCTCCACTGCATTATATTTATACCTTGATTTCACGGGCGAGGTAGACACGGCCGAACTTTCCTTTGCCTAGGGGTTTGCCAATTTCGAAATCGGCAAGGGACCATTGCTTTTGTGGGCTTTTCAGGGGTTGTTTGGGGGGCTTCTTGTGATGGGTTTGGGATTGAGAAGTCATTGAAGACGAGAAAATGAATAGAAGAATTACAGAGAAAACTGGAGAAATTAGGGAATTAGGGATTAATGAGATTGGGATGGGAATGGGAATGGGAATGGGGAGGGAAATTGGAACTTTCAAAATCGTGCCGGTTTGGAAGTTGTAGAAATTGCAATATTGATCCCTAATCTATAAGATTTATAGTAACTTGATCCCCAGCGGATAAGTTTTGTGTGGGAAATATTAATGAAGGGTGAAATTGCCAATAAAAATGGACATCAATGGCGGTGGTGATAGTAGTGGTGAAACGTAATACGTTACAAAAGTATAACATGTACGTTGCTGTGTTACAAAAAGAAAAACACGGTACGTTAATATAGTAACATTGTATTTTTGCAATCAAAAATATTGAGGATGCAAAATAATCTATTTTTTAAGTCAGAGGTGTAAGTGGTTAAATGTTGGGGATCTCCATCGCTATTTAACCTCAAGTTTAACCAAACACTTTCTAGAGTTCTTAAGAGGCAAGACGGAAGCAACACATGAACGAAGTGGAACGAGGATTAAAATATCGTCACTTACCATCCCATTTGATTATATTTTTTAATTGTAGTTTTCTATTTTTACTTTTTAAAATTAAAAGATTTATGATCAGCTTGAGAAATTCGAACGGGTTTCCTTACGGTTGATCTTGCCATGTCAAGATACTAAAGTCTACAGTTAAGAAATGTAATTTATATTGGATTTTGAAGTTAGAAATGTAACAAATGAAGATGTGGTGATTATTGTATTAAGAGGGGAAAAAATTAGATTATGAAATGTGAAAAGAAAGTGAAATCTACACTTGTTAAATACAAAATTAACTTGCAACATAAAATCACCCGATTAATGAAAATAAATAAGGTCACTCAATTATAATGACTAATACATAGTAATTGTTGTTATAGTACATTGCATAATCCTCGGGTTCTTGACTTCTTTCCAACCTTACAAATTTTAAATCAACAACGTTCGTTTTGTTCGCTGGCCACTTGAAGCTTATTTGACATAGATATTAGCAAAGAAAATTATTTTTCTAAAGAATGTGGAAATTCCTTGTCGGGTAAGTTCAGACCCGCACGAAACGCGTAACGATCTGGGCATTGTCTCGGAGAGAGGCTCGGTGAAATAGGTATGTTTATGAAGATGCGGACTACCTGCACATCGACAGAAAGACCCTATGAAGCTTCACTGTTCCTTGGGATTGGGTTTGGGCCTTTGGTTAATTAGTGAGAAAAGGTTATCGATCACGTAGAATGTGTAATCGAAAATGAATTTATGAAAATATAATTTTAAAAAAAAAAAAATTGACAAACAAACCTTTAGATGAGTTGTAGAAGCGATTCATTTCTTCAAACAACAATAATCCCTTGTTCTAAACTGTTGCTGTTGGAAACCAGCATGTGAGCTCTGCTGTGGCTCAAGAGCCAAGTTCTGTTGTAACTCAGGCTATGGCGAAATTGCCAAGCCATGCTTTGAGTCAAACTGTGATTTCAACAATTGGGCATATTGTTACTGTTTCGGTAAATCATGAAAAAAATTAGAGAAATTCAACTTGAATTTCAAGAGGTGGCAGTAGAAAAAGATATTTTAACTAACCAACTTAACTCTTGCAAGATTCTTGACTGAAACTACTCCAAAACTCAATGAGGGTGAGAGAGATATTCAAGCGATTAGTGCGATTGATGCTTGGAAATGTTCGAATTTTCTATGCCAAAACTACATCATGAACGGCTTAGCAGACTCGCTGTACAATGTGTATAGTACCATGAAAAAAGAGTAATTACTCAAATGGTCATTGAACTTTACAAAAAGTTAACACGATGTCACTAAACTTTAAAAATTATCCAATTTATCATTGAACTTTGCAAAAGATTTTCATGGGGTCTCTGAACTTTAAAAATTACCCCATTCTTCACTGAACTTTGCAAAAAGTTTCTACTTAGTCACTGAACTTTACGAAAAGTTTTTCAGTGCTCACTAAATTTAGTGATCCTTGGAAAACCTTTTGCAAAGTTTAGTGATAAATAATGTTATTTTTAAAATTCAGTGACCTCGTGAAAATCTTTTATAAAATTTAGTGATGAATTTGATGATTTTTAAAGTTCAGTGACTCCGTGGAAACCTCTAACAAAGTTCAGTGACCATTTATGTAATTCACTCTCATGAAAACTGCTAAGAAGCTATGGAAGTCATTTTAGACGGAAAAAAAATAAAAAAATAAAAATCGAAAAATAAAAAAGTCCACTTGAAATAGTATGAATAATAACTGAACGTGAAACTTGACAGCAGGCTCAAGAGGTCAAGCTCAAAAGACCCAGCCCATGCTAAGAAGGCCGAACTCGAGTAGTATAACAATTAGGGCCATCGCCGGTATTCCACACGCAAGCAGGGTATGCTGCATACCAAAAGTATCGCGCTATATGTTTAGGCAGTGAGTTCTGATCGATCTTTGGCAAACTTAATGTATGCTAGGCAAAACTCCAAGTTCTTATACATTGTAAGTTCTACAAAATGTGTGAAAAAGAGAGAGTTTTAAATTAAGAAACATATAAAATATATGACTAAAAAGCATATTTGACTAGCTTAAAATGAATTCGTCAAGCACACACTAGACCCAAACTAAAAGTCGAATTAGAACCTTTAAGAGCATCTCCATAAAACGCTTTAAACATAACATACTCTTTATTTTAACGAGTCGACTCTTAAAATTATGTATTAAGAGACTCTTTAAATTAACATTTTAATTTTATTTTTTTTTAAATGAGAGCCAAACCTACTCTCTATAATTAAATGCATTCAATGTATTTCAATTTTCAATGGAAGAAAAAAATAAAATAATTTGGATAGAAGCTAGTGAAAATAAAAGATAAGAAAAAATAATAAACATTTTTTAAGATTAATAAAATTAAGTATTAAATATAAAAAGTATGTTGAAGTATTCAAAATCTTTTACTCTCTAAATTATAGGATATGCTATTTAAAAATAGAGAGAGTCTAAAAGATGCACTAACGAACTTTATAATGAGCTTCTAATGTATAATAAAAAAAAGGCATATTTAAATTTAAAGTATAAATTTTTTTATACACTCCAACAATATTATCTTTATTTTAACTCTTCATTTTGTTTGTTTCAAGTAACACTCTCCACATATTTTGTTTAACAAATTTTTTTATATATCAACGATCAATCAATTCGAATATGATTTCAATAATTTAAGAAGTAGAATATTGAAATTTGTAATTCAAAATACAATTATTAGAACATCTTCAAGACACTATTTTGGTTCTTTATTTTGCTTTTCAAAGAAACATCCCCCTCTAATTCTATTTTGACATATTTTTTAGATGTTCAGATCAATATTCATGATTTGAATAATTAATAAGTATAGCGCTGAAATATATAATGTATTAAATACAATCATTATAAGTAAAAATAATTTGAAAAACCAAACACACTCACTATTTTAAAAAATTTAAAGTAGAAAGTCTCTTACAACTTATTTTTATATCTCAACTCTCTAAAATAGGATACTTACATGAAGAGAGTATCTTGAAAATGCTATTAACAGCCCTACATACACACACAGGCCCAAAATAATCTACAGCAAGAAATCAACAGAATACTTATATTAAACACTATTATCCAAACTGTCAATGAGAATCAAATTAAAATGGAAGGGGTACCAAAGTGGCTAAATCCCACAGAAATTCAGCTCAAAACTCTGCACAGAATCCAAACAAAGACACAGAATTGAAGAGTAGAGCTTCAAGCCTACTTGAGCTCAACAATCCAACCCATTTTATCCTCAGCAAGTCCCATTTGTAGGCTGGTGAGTGAGGAATATAGTTGCTGGGACACAACTCCAACCCCTTCGCTTCCGTAAGTTACCCTGCACGAAGTGCAAGACATATTGTTCGTGATAGGAAATTAAGGTAGGAACTCGCTCCCTCTTTTACAGGACTACGCGATAACTTTTCATGTTAATTTTAATCGTATCGAAAAATGAAAAAGTTAAGAGAGTACATGATTTACGAATTCTCAACCCATCACTTTTTTGTGGGATGAATTATTTATCATAATGAGGCAACTAGTACATAGAAATTACCTTTTACCAAGATAAGTTATGCTTCCTACAGGGGATATAACCACAGCAGTTCCCGTACAAAAAACTTCATCGGCGTCAAGCAATTCATCCACTGTTACAAACCGTTCCTCAACCTAAATATCAATAGATACACACTATATTAATATCAAATTGATTTGAAAGGCCTGCACACCCAAGTCGACAGAGATGTGAACGAGAATCCTTTAAATAACCGAGTTTTTAAAGCTATTGCCATAGACATATCAATACATAATTTTCTTATATATTATGCCAATTTTTACTCAGGAACCTATAATTTAATTATTTTTTATTTTTTGGTGGGGTGGGGGTCGGAGTGGGGATGGGGGTGCATTGAAGAGATCTATGGAATCAGCTTGGTCAGGAAGCAACCAATAAACCGTCAATAATCATTTTCCCTTGACAGTAGGGCCTTTAAGGTTTCAAGGGCATTACAAGCCGACTACAGTAGTTCATTTAAAGTTTTCAGAAGCTCATTGCTGATAGTAGCTTCTACCTGGAATCCTTGACTAAGAGCAACATCGATTATGCTCTTTCGTGTAATACCAGGAAGAATGGTCCCTTTAATTGCAGGAGTAGATATCACATTGTCCTGAAATATAAAGAGTTTATCAGACATTAGCTTTTTATATTTTTACCGAAATGATAATTCATAAAGCGAAGCACCATATGCAGAAATTAAATATTGTCATACATTAAGGATGACCATGGAAAACAAGTAATTGGACAAAACAAATAACAGGAAGTTGAAGAGATCCGAGATTGGTCAAGAAAAAAATGTACATTTTACATGAACGGCACAATGCGTCATCTCAAAGTTCTTAAACAACTAATTATTGATCAAAATGCAAATTATTGCTACACAACCAGATCCAAACTCAAGGGATATTAAATGGAACTTAAACTCCTCTGAGACTAATGTCTCAGATACGAGCGTCTTCAATTTTATCCCATCATTTAATGTAGAAATCCAAAAATTGATTATAATTATTTACTACACATGTCAATTATGTGTTATATCGAAGGGTTAAAATTGAGAAATTCAGTCGTCTTGTCTGAATAGATAGTGTAAAATGTAATCTGTTCATCAACTCAGATTTTAATTTCTTGTCATGCTGAAAGGCCCCAAAACATGCCACCAACACTAAGCTCACTAATATAAAATGGATGAAGACCATCATCATAATGACATTCCAAAATATTGCATTATTTAAATTCAATGTCTATGGTTACAAACTTTCTTAGTCACTTATTAGTCCGAGAATATAATTTTGCCTTTTTTGCATGAACAATGCCAATGATGACGAAGATATGAAGTTTTCAATGACCAAGAAATACTAGAGAGATTAAATTTCTATAATGAAGCATCATAGTTACATAAATCCAATCATAAGCATTAGTATATACTAAAACTAGGATATTTAGCCCTGCTTGACAAAGCATTTTGAGATTCATAAATTGGTGGATCCAATGAAATATCAGGTTAAAAGAAAAGAATAAAAATACAACACTGACCTGTCCATAATTTAAAATCCCAGCAGATGGGTTCAATTCAATGTTCCCAAAACGCTGTAATTCGCCATTCAAAAAGTTTTTGCCTTGGGCGCATTTCATAATATACATGTAATCAGTGGGAATAAACCCAAAACCAAGGTTGTCCCAATCAATTTCAGCCAACTCTAATGCTACATTGCTGCCCAAACCAAAAATAGAATAAATAAATAAAAAGAGCAATAATTTTATTTGCACGCCAAATTTCACTATGCGCTTGATGACCACAATTGATTCAGTTATTGATACGCTTAAGTCTTAAGGAGGGAACAAAGTAGACATCCAAACAAAAATGTACGAGTTCCACAAAAAATGAGGTTACAAGATGCAGTTGACATAGTATTACAAGAAAGATAAAATTCACAAAATAGATTTGCCTCAAATGAGAATAAGCAACTAAGCCAATTCAGAAGTGTGTACCTTTACAACAAATACATTGCAAGAGGAAACCTCTTCGAGATATCTTTTGTGAACACTATCCAGATAGAGAACATCGGAAAATCCTTTTGCTTTTGCAGCAAGCTGTACTTTTAGAACCTAGAAAATATAGTTTTGAGGATTAAAGGACGCATCAGCATAACCAGAATATAAAGATTATCTAATTATATAGTAAGGACAGTACCCAATTCCATGGTTTATCAGATATCATTAGGCATCAAAATAAATTTAAAATCACCCCAGCCACCCACCCCTATTTTCCTTAGTGGCAGATCATAATTCCACAGTCGAAAATATTCGATAAGCATATATAAGCATGTTGCAGCGACAAGTTGCTAATTGAAATAACATCTCCTCATTAAGCGTTTAGGTCTAGGAAAAAAATTTAACAAATTAATGGGAAGAGGGAAAGCAAGAATATTATGGTTATCTATCATTATGATATTCGGAAGAGAGAGAAGAAAATATTTAGGTAGAGATGTGTCCACCACACAGAAAAAGATGTTTACTACGCTAGCAAATAAATAGGCACATAAAGAACCTAGCAAAAGAGGACACAAAGGAAAGAAGGATCCACAAAAGAGTAGCTTACTGCTGCATAATTTCCTATAGTCTTAACTCCGCCAGTACCACCAGGTGTTGCTCGATGCATTTCAGTCTCGACTACTAAATTTATTGGTGCCAAACCTTCCTGGTGATATCAGAAACAAATGATAACTAAGAGGATTTGTGGAGTATGTATTAGAAGCTGGTACAAAAAATTGTGTAAAGAATATTCATTGATCAAAAGGAATGGTACATTAGATAGTATGCTTCCACAAATCAGTTGTGAAAAAATGATTTTCAAGATGAGATAATAATTTCAGCCAAAAAATACCATGCTAAAGTAGTTCCTAAATGAATATTAGCAGTAACATATGAGATTCAACTATCCATCTTATCCAAAATAATTTCTGGATATCGTTACATGTGTGAGAGTAATTATCAAGTCTATAAGAACCAGTTACAAGACTGAGCATCAAGACAAGCTTCAGGTCAAATTGAGATACAGAACCAAACTAGTTCAACTGTTAATTCTATGCCTCCTTCCAGTATCTCTAGTTCTACTCCTTTTTTCTATTCTCCCAATCAAGATGAGAAGGTATGGAATTTGGTACACCACCAAAGTTGCAGCGATGGTTCGTTGGTCAAAAGAGACTTTTTGGATGTATCTAACTCCTTTGTTAAACTACATTACAAGATATTTCTAATAGAGAAAGCCAAACTAAATAACTTATAGTGCTTTCTCACTTTCCACCAGTAGTTACAATTTACAGTCAAAATTCAAGAATTACACCATTCTTCATTAGCATTAGAAGCAGATGTTGTGATAAATCAGATTTCAGAATGTATTATATCGGTCAACAGTCAGTTATATTATTAGTAAGCATGCATGAAACACATAGCAAAAGAGCAAAAATAATATTCCTAAATGTACTGAAAGGTAGCCTAAAGCAGATAGAATTACATAACAAAAAGAAGATATGATAAAGCAACTGATTCAGGTGGCAACATAATCCATGAGAGAGTCATGATACCTTGAAATAGTTGCCAACAGGTGATACATAAATCAAAAAGGTGTATTCGGGAGCAGGTGCAAGACCTAGAACAGCTCCACTCCCCATAAGCAATGGTCTTATATACAACGAACCTTTACCTGGTGGGGGAATCTGATAGAAGACAGCAAAGCAGATACATACATTCCAATTTTATGCAACATAATAAAAACTGAAATTGCTATGCTAAATTGTCACATTACCCATCTTTCATTTGCTAAAATGGTTAGTTTTACAGCTTCCACAAACTGTTCTACACTAGGAGAAGGCATGCACATACGTTCTGCACCAGTCCTTAGTCGAAATGCATTTTCCTCAGGACGAAACAACAAAATATTGCCATCATGTTTCCTATAAGCTTTTAAACCTTCTAATAATCCCTACAACATAATTTCAAAAAAGTAATTCAGCGAAAACAAGGCAACCTGAATAGAGCAACTCCTAAAACTAAAAGATAATTTCCAGTAAAAAAAAAAAAAAAAAGAATAAAAATACAACACTGACCTGTCCATAATTTAAAATCCCAGCAGATGGGTTCAATTCAATGTTCCCAAAACGCTGTAATTCGCCATTCAAAAAGTTTTTGCCTTGGGCGCATTTCATAATATACATGTAATCAGTGGGAATAAACCCAAAACCAAGGTTGTCCCAATCAATTTCAGCCAACTCTAATGCTACATTGCTGCCCAAACCAAAAATAGAATAAACTATAAACCCACAATTAAAACAAATTAAAGTCAGTTCACTATAACTTAAAACACAAATTTGGCTCTAAATTAAAAATATTACCTGGTGGGTGAGGCCACTGGGACAGTGTTGGCAGTGTCATTTACTCTAAAAGAGGCGAAACGCGATTGTTGCAGCTGCATACATTTAAATTTTCATAACTTAAATATATCATAGAAAATAAAATCAAAGTACATATAAATTGGCACAAATCAGGAATGAAACGATAATGACATCACCATAGACAGCGCGTGGTTGAATGGTACCTTGAGAGGTTGAGCGCAGAAGTGCCTTTTGTCGGTAAGGAGTGAAGGAAGAAGCTTAATAAGGCTGCCTGAAGGGCCGAGGGTTTGGTGGTGGGCGGTGGCGGGATTGGGCTGAAGGCCTGCGAACACAGTGACGCTCTCCATTTCTCTTTGCAGCCTTCAGTTTCGCTTTTTGACCAACTTCTTTCCAAGACACGTCTATGTCGTAATTGTACTTCGCCTGGACAATAATGAGGTAATATCCGGTTAATAGAATAAAGCCATGTTTGGTTTAGAAAAAAAAAATTTTGATTTTAATATATTTTGATAAAAATAAATAAATACGTAATATAAAAATCGAGAAAAATATTGACTATCAATAAATGTATAATTGAAAATAAATTTGAAAAAAAAAATAGTTATCTATCATTATGATATTCGGAAGAGAGAGAAGAAAATATTTAGGTAGAGATGTGTCCACCACACAGAAAAAGATGTTTACTACGCTAGCAAATAAATAGGCACATAAAGAACCTAGCAAAAGAGGACACAAAGGAAAGAAGGATCCACAAAAGAGTAGCTTACTGCTGCATAATTTCCTATAGTCTTAACTCCTCCAGTACCACCAGGTGTTGCTCGATGCATTTCAGTCTCGACTACTAAATTTATTGGTGCCAAACCTTCCTGGTGATATCAGAAACAAATGATAACTAAGAGGATTTGGTTGTTGGAATTTCTAATTTTCATTTAAAGGTGATAAATGGGTTGAATTGCTCACGGGTTAACACATCTCGTTTCGTTTCATGAGATGTTCGGATTCATACTGAGTAGTGATATGTGCTAAATTGAGCTCGAAATTTTTTCATGTGCCGAACTTGTTTGGTTGGTGAAACTCACGAGCCGACGCATATCTGGTGGGCTAAGTGACCGTTTGGTGCTTCCACAAATCAGTTGTGAAAAAATGATTTTCAAGATGAGATAATAATTTCAGCCAAAAAATACCATGCTAAAGTAGTTCCCAAATGAATATTAGCAGTAACATATGAGATTCAACTATCCATCTTATCCAAAATAATTTCTGGATATCGTTACATGTGTGAGAGTAAAAAAATCACTTTTAATTTTTTTTTTTTTTTGAAATTATAATTTACATTTTTATTCTTCCATATATTATTCCAAATACATTAAGGCAAATTGTTGGAACTTTATGACCAACAAAATCTTCGGTGATTGTGAACACTAAATGTAGGCTTTATCATAATCATCAATATATATTTCTCATGTTGCAATAGTATATTTTTTGTAGAGCCTTGAGCATAGATTTTTGAATCTTAATCAAATTAATATTTGACGAGTGTAATAGGCAAGAGGCAAATCATGATCAATAAAATGAAGAATCACGATTTGGTATAGTTCTTACCAAATAAAAGTACCAACGCAACATTGAAAGAAAGAGCAATCAACAATATGCTTAACTCATGCTCCAAGAATCCCTAGTCCAGAAATGAGGTGGCATATATGTTGGCTCGATATGCTTAGAATGTGGAAGACTTTTAATTATGGAGCCTTATGAATTTATTGTTTTCAGTTATTAATCAAGATGTATCTTACTTTTTATTATAGCCAATCAATAATGCTTCACGTACAAAAAATTGATCACAGAAGAGATACAGAAATTCAAAAAATCTGATGTGGCACCATACTTCATTATTATTTCCTGACAATTTGAAATGAAATCGAAATATTGCATTCTTAATATCATTTCGAAGTGCTCACGGCCTAGTTTAGTATAAAATTTATATTATTTTACCTCTTTATTCATATATTATTCCAAATGAGAGTTCGGTCAATTCTATATTTATATGCAAATTTTGGCCTCCTGCCAAATTTTGAACCTTTCTTTATCACTTCCTAAAGTCTTCGCTTTCAAATATGATAAAAAATTGTTCCAAATTTTTCGCAAGGCCATGAATGCAATCAATTAGATCCAGATGATATTAAAAAAAAAAATTAATCTAGATTTATATGCGAATGTGAATTTGGTTAAAATTTGTCATTTGTGTGGCTCTTCAAACTTTTTGAAAGTGTATTTCATGGATTTATCTTGCACAGAGATGTATTTGAATGATTGAGAAAACACAAAGCTTTAAAACCAAGATGAAATGGGTAGATTAATAGTTGAAGATGTTATAGATTGGACTTCATAATTTGTAAGTATTATTAATTTTAATTTTTTTAAATTTTTTATGATTATTCAGAAAATAAATTGTACGTGTAACATTTTAGTAACGTTTAATTTTAATTTTACCTATGTTAAAAGTAATCAGTCCTAAACCCCAATAAAGGATAAGGGTTTCAAACTTTTCAAATTAAAAAAAAAAAAAAAAATTGGCTCGGCCCATGAGCAATCGGCCGAACCTAGCCAAGCATGAGCTTCGCTCGTGTCCAAACGAACCAAGCTTGTAAGATTAAACGCCTAGCTCTCGGCCCCATTACCATCCTAATTTTACTCTATAAATGGATCAAATCTCTGTTTTTTCTAATTAATAAACTAGTTGACCTTAAGTAGGTTTTTTTAAGTGGAGTCCTATTTTTAATTTTGCGTTTCATAAATCATATTTAAGTTTTATATTTCAAAATTAAGGTTATAATTGAATATTTAACATGTATGTATATATGTATATGTATATATATATATGTATATATATATATATAAATCAAAATTCTATATATTCAAGGAAAATCAAACTTCTTGGCAGATTTCCTCACAAGAGAGTTTATTCAAAAGAGTGAGAAAAATGAGTTGGGCAAAGAAAGTTGAAGAAGAAGAGGATTCTCAAAATCCTTTTCAAACTAAAACCTCAAGAAAGAAGAAAAGTTCAATTCCTTTCTTCGAAGATCCCCCAAAGGATCAAAAGGAAGCTTCATCTTCCTCAAATACTCTTTCAACCTTCATCAAAAAACCTGATCAAAAGCAAAAAGCTGAGTCCTCAACCCTTTCAAATTTCAAAAAAGCTGTTCAAAGTTCTGGCAAACTTCCTCAAATTAATCCTCCAAACTCTTTCAAATACTTTACTAAGAGTCTTTCTGATTGTGTTCTTACAATGGAAAGCTCTTGGATCAATCGTTATGGTGGTCTTGATGATTGCCTTGAAAGTATTCTTCCAGAAAACTTTTGGTTCATGCCTTCAAATATCCAAAAAACTAGAGATTATTACGAAACCATTCTTTCTTTGACTGGTTCTGCATTAATCTTTCATACTCCTGAACCAAGAGACAAATCAAATATTATGTTTTCAAAAATTTCAATTCTAAGAGTTCTGTCTTATGAAGACTGGGGACAGTATCCCTGGGAAGAAAAGAGATTAAATCTTTCAAAAACATTTTTCACATGTCAAAATACTTTCAATTATTTTGATTACCAGAATGCTTGGTATAAGGTTCTTCTTTTTAGGCCAGTTACCCATTCTTGGTTTATCAACTTTAATAAAAATTGTAACCCTCATTTCCCGAGTTGGTTTCAAAATTGGTTTCAGTATCATGGACTTGAAGAACAAATTTTGCCCAGTCTAGTTCTTCAAGGATATGAATTTTTCAAAAGAGAGGCAAAACCTTTTCTCAAGCCTCAAGAAAATCTTTTGTTTCAATTTGCTTTCAATATGAAAGTTTCATGGATTTTCTGTTGGGATTTCTTCCATTATGAAAATCTTCAAGATATGTTCCCAACCCACAAAATTACAAGAAGATTCAAGATCAAATGGTGGGCAAAGTTCAAAGAAACAAATTGTTGTCCAAAAGCAGTTCAATCATGGATACAAGAACAAAGAAATTTGGGTGTACCTAAATTTTCAAAGAAAGAACAAGAAGATCAAGCTGATTTTTTGACTGAAAAACAAAGAATCATTGCAATGTTATCAAAATGTAAAGATCCTGAAGAATTGTTAGAAATTTATGATCAAACTTCTAAACAAGGATCTTCAAAAACTAATGAATCTGATCAAGAAGAAAAATCTCAATATTCTCAAGAGACTGACAATGGTGATGACTTAGTTGATCTAGGTGATGACTATGCGGAGTTTCTTGCTCAAGAGAAAGCTGCAAAAGCTCAAAAGAAAAATTTAAAGAAAACTTCAAAATGACTATATGGACCCAGTTTTCTTGATGAATTGAGACATTCAAGGGTCTATCAAGTAAGGGAATTCTCCTCAACCTTTGTCCAATTCAAAATTGGTGGTGCCACATTTGTCAAGATTCCCATCAACTTTGTGTCAAACATCAAAATCTACTTTAATAAAGAAAAGATTATCTTTATTAAAGGAAGTCAAAAATTGAAAACTTTTGACTAAAGTTGATGCTGCTTTACAAGATGCTCCATTATGATGTCGTCCTCTTCTCTTTTCAAGATTCTTTCTCTCAAATGAAAGAAATTTCAAGTCCGGACTTCATTATAAAAAGAGTTCAAGATTTCATTTCGAAGCAGAGCGAATTCAGCAAGAAGAAGTTTTACTTTTCTTTGTAATTTGTTCTCTCAAAAATTTTCAATTATCATTGTAATATCTTTAAATTTTCTCCAATATCTTTAAATTTTCTTCAATTTCAATAAAAGTATCTATTTTCATAAATTTCTGTTCTTCTATTTCATCTCCTATTCCCCTGGGTCTTTAATGGTATCAGAGCCATAAGTGAACAAGTGAGATTAGTTTAATCTTATACCATAGGCACTGTTCAATAGGTTTAAATTGGTTTGAATTCATGGATGTCTGCTGAATAGACGTTGGTCAGCCTTGTAAACGTTGGTCAGCTGTGTTAGGTGGTCCCGTTGGGTGGTCCCGTTTGTAGGCTTGGTAAGAACCAATCTATCCTATTTTACTGTTTTTATTGTGTAATTTTAATTTGATTTCATTTATTCAACTATGTCTTCGGTTTCAAATTGGCTAAGGAGATCTAGGTCTAGAAATAGATCACAAAATCAAAATGAAAATAGTTCAAATGTTTTTCAAAACGAAGAAGAAGTTGACAATGCATCAAATTCATCTGCATCTGCATCAAATGATTCCAATTCAAATGAATTTCAAATTGCAAAAATTGAACAACAACTTCAAAATTGGACTATTCCAAAGATAGACAAAAATTCTATCTATGAAATAGGAAAATTTGATTTCACTCAAAATTATGTTATCAAAACTTTTGAACAAACTATTTCAATTAATAGTTCAAATGCATTCATCAATTTATTTTCAAAAG